AAAATACCCTCAAAAGTCAAACTAGGTCAACCTTGGTCAAAGTCCGAGTCAATGGTCTAAGTCAACACTCCGAGTTGACTCAACTCACCGAGTTGCTCTATCAACTCATCGAGTTCTAAAATCAGATTCCTGAATTCGCGATCCAACTCGTCGAGTTAACCCCTGACTCGTCGAGTTCCCTGCCTACTCATGGTCACGACTTATCACATCAACTCGTCGAGTCATTCCTCAGACTCGTCGAGTTCTACCATAACAGAAAACAGGACAACTCACTTCGACTCGTCGAGTTCCTCCCTGGGCTCGCCGAGTCCCTCAGTCTGTTTGGGCTATCTTAATGGATTAAGCCCCTACACTTCAGATCTAAGTCCCAAACTTCGTCTACATGATGGAAATGACCTCTTAAGGGTAAAGTTTCCAACTTTACCCATTACTAGTCCTTCTTAATGGGTTTAGCTCAAACCTAGCTCCTTAAGACATAAGTCTTTGTCCCAAAACTCATATTACTTCAAACCAAAGCATGAAAATCGAGATCCAAATCTTAGACACCATATGAGCACATAAAGTCTAAGGCTTTCCTTCCATATATGGCCTTTTGGGCTTATCAAGCTCAAACTAACACCTTAGAGCTTGCATGTGGACTTCAATGGCATAAAGTTTGCACATTTATGCCTTAACACTCCTCAATGATTCCAGATCTGAATAGATCCTTTCTTGGGACATCCATAATCGAATAATCAAGTTCCTTGGACCCAAAACCCCATAAAGTGACAAAGAAGAGATCTATCAAGCTATTAAGCAAGGTTGAGACTTGCTTACCAGAAAATGAAGAGGATGAGAAGTTATTTCTGGATCTACAAGCCTTTCCTTGAATCCCCCAAGCTTCTCCTTCTTCTTCAAGCTTCAAAGCACTCAAGAACACTCAATAATGGCTCAATATATCATTAGGGTTCGAGATCTAGGGTTTGGACAGTGGGGGCTGAGAATGGGGTTGAAAGGTGGAGAATAAGATGCTTAAATAGGAGATACAAACCCGGATTTAGGGTTTCTCAAACCCTGACAAACTCGTCGAGTAGGTCTTCCCGACTCGTCGAGTAGGTCCTTCCTACCCGCGTCCTGATCTTGCTTCTACTCGTGAGTCACCCCCCTTGGACTCGGCGAGTAGACCTTCTTTACTTGGGGTTTTCTTCCTCTAATTAGCCTTCTGGATTTCGTGTGTTACATCATAATTGTAACAACTTGACATGTGAAGAAGGTCTGTGGGCTAATGAAACTTAACGTTTTTCGGTTGAAAATTCGACAATAGTAACAATTAGGAATTCCCAATAAGTATTATTTGTTTCTTCAGAATTAGAAAACTTATATGGGTAATTATCCTTACGTTGTTTTTGGGGATTAGTTTCCTCGTCATTGGATTTAATGTCATATCATCATATTCTAAAAAACACTAGTTTTTTCCACCATGTTTCAGTATGGAAGTAAGTTCACATCATTATCTAACCTCATTAATTTTGCTTGATTAATTGTTGATTCATCACCGTCAAATGTTAGACCATCGTCACCAACAAGTTTACCTTTAACCTAAGACCATCCTCATATACAAACCAATCGTAACAAGGAATTTGATTTAGTGTCAATGGTTATAAATTACATATTTGGTTACTTTCGGCATCATATGACCTATTGCCACAATAATTGTAACATCCATAAAAATCATGCCAAATTTGAACTTTTTAAAACATTTAAAATCATTAAGTTATTACAATTCGTTTTCCAAAATAGTATCATATCAGAGTTCCCAGAAAATAATAATCATAAATCAAGGAAGTGTACGGTCACGCATTCGCCTTCCCGCGATCGTCTGAAGTACCTGAAACAATAATCGATACATGTAAGCTCGAAGGCTTAGTGAGTTACCCCCAAAATCCAACGCCATATAATCATAATCATGTCATATAAACATATAAGTAAACAACATGCATAATGAGCCTTCAACCTGACTGGACCGCCTCGCAGGCCTTCAGCCTATCTGGACCGCTCTTCGAGCCTACGACACGTCTGGACCGCCTCGCAGGGGTTACAGCCTATCCGGACCGCTCGTCGGGCCTTCGGTCTGACTGACATGCCCTCCTGGGCCTGTAGTCTATCCGGAGCGCCCTAGGTATGTTGGCCTTTCAACACAAAGCAGGTCCGCCTCAACCCAAACCCCAATCAAACAAACATGTGCACATAATATCATATGCTAGCATATATAACAGTCAAACCGATCTAACATATCATCAATCATAACAACATCCTATAACCAGGATACAGACCTAACCGGTCACTAACATAGCATCATCCTATATACCAGGATACTGACCTAACCAGGTCACTAAGCATATCACCATCCTAACTACCAGGATGTAAATCAATAAGCATATCATGCAATAAACCCGGATACAAATCCGATAAGGGCCGACATTGGTGCCTTAGACCTTGTTGATAAAGTGAGGATAACTCACCTCACAACTATCACACTTAAGTGACAAGCTCAACTCTCGAATCACCGACATGAACTCCACCACCCATATTTACCATAAGACCATTTCCATAAATTTCCAAATTACCAAATACTCCAGAAGTCAACTAGTCAATCCTTGGCCAAAGTCAAGGTCAACGGTCAAGGTCAACAATCCATGTTGACCCGAATCGTCGAGTGCAGTTCACCGACTCGTCGAGTCCTTCCTGAACTCGAGAAGTCATGAAATCCCCGGTTGACTCGTCGAGTTTCCCCGCAACTCGCCGAGTTCATGCATGTCCAAATGTCGGGAAAACCCTAGCTGACTCGCCGAGTCACCCTACTGACTCGCTGAGTCCAAGCAAAAAGTCCTTGCATGACAATCTTCATCGGACTCGTCGAGTTGACCATGCAACTCGTTGAGTCCCTTCAGTCTTTTCTCCATTCAGATGCTTTTTAAGCCATTCCAAAGCTCCATAACGTAGATCTAGGCTCCTAAGGCATACTTCTTACATAAAGTTGCAAACTTTACGTACATGCAAGGTGCTAATGACTTAAATCAAGCCAAAGAAGAGGTTCTAGGCAAGGGAATTACACTAGCATGCTAAAGAATGAGACTTTATGAATGTAAGGGCCAAGATGAGCCTAGATCTGAAGTTGCAACTTCAGATCTTGGTTCATCACTCGAAATGTAGCACCAAATGCCAAAATGGCCCCAAAACTCAAACGTAGAAGGATCTAGCTAGAAGAAGATCAAGGTAACGACTTGATACCTTCAAATGATGCTAAACTGGGGTAGACTTCAGATCCACACACGTTCCTTGCCTCAAACTTCTTGATCTTCAAGTTCCCCTCACCAAGATCCACCTTCAAATGCTTAAAACATACAAGTATGGAGAGAAAACAACGATTTAGGGTTTCTGGACTCACAAGGGGCTAAATGGGAGGCTAAGGGAGGCCAATGACCCTTAAATAGAGTGCAAAACCCCGGAAAGTAGGGTTTCATCCTCCAGCTCCAACTCGTCGAGTCGTGTCCTCCGACTCGGCGAGTTGGTCACTTAAGTTTGCGGTCCAAATGCGTTCCTACTCGACGAGTCAGGGCCTCCAACTCGTCGAGTAGACTTTTCAATATGGAAGAGTAAAGCTGAAATTTAATACCTGAGAGTCGGGGCGTTACAATAATGATTTTCCTTTGCAAATCGATTAACACTATTTTCCAGATCATGATTAACAACAAACAATTATATTGTATTATGAGACATACTAGTGACAATACTAAGAAATTTTTTGACACCATTGTTGTTAATAAAATATATAACTATTTTTTATCAACGACATATTTGGTTACTTCGAACAACTAACGTAACCAATCTAAGTTGACATCGTTGGTTAAATCCACATCATAACATGTGTAATATGGAACAATATAATGCATATACCGTCAATTGCACTCATTGTCATCCACTATCATCCACTACAAACATGTACTCTGGATAAATGATTACAATACTCATTTTCAATAATACAAGTCTAGATGTCAAGATTTTGTAAACAATTTCTAAAAAAAATCTTCAAAATAGACTAAGAATGGACATAGAAAGAGTGATTTTTGCAACTCCATAACAACATTTTGGAATATTTTTACATTCACTGTATTTGTGTTAGTTCAGAATGTAACGATGTCGGATTCCAAAATACATTTACGTAACATCTCACCAACCACCACCAACTCTGGAACAAATATAATTAGTCTAGAATGCGGTCTTTTGAAAAAAAATTGTTATTTTTTTTAAATTATGAAATAAAAAAATTATTTTTGCTAATTTCCTTGTCTATAAGGATTATTTTAGTTAATATCCCAAATATTTTTTCGTACTAATATTTTTTTATTGAAATGTTTTTAAAATAAGATATGTATTTAGGAAACAACAAATTTAATGATGAGATTTTTAAATAAATTACATAGTTAAAGTAAATTAGCTAAAACTAAAAAAAAATCTTGAAAGAAGTTAACCACATCAAATTAGAGGTTATTGTGGCAATAATTCTTATTAATAACATAGGTCTAGGATTGGTTCTACCATTGGTGATACTCTTGTGAATCATCTACCTAAATAGTATAAAAAAGACTAATTAAGAATTGATTTTAAAAACAGAAAATTCATCTTCCTTATTCAAAGTTAAAAATTATGAAAGCATTAATTACGTTTATATTCCCGTTAATCGGTTAATGAGAACGAGTTGGTGTATGAACCAGGTACAAATAGAGATTGACCAAGTCAAGATTGTACAAGTAGTGATGCATAAGGTACAAGAAAACAAAACATATCTAGCCAGAGATATCCCCCCATTGAAGTTTTGTCATGATTCCGACAATGGTGTCGGTGGGTTTGACTGTAGGGACGCAGCGACGGAAGTGCTGACTTGTGGGTCGTGAATTGAGGTGCCGTGCCCACTTGTACATTTACTTTTCGTGCATTGGGTGTTGTACACACAAAGAATAATTCAACCTCCAAATGTGTGTGTCAGTGTGTGTGTCACATGGTATATGTAGGAGCCTGAGTTTGTGTGTTTGAGTATATATAAATACACATAGTGGTGGTGGATTGCGGTGGCAGATGGCGGAGTTCACACATTTGTTGGTGGTTAAGTTCAAGGAAGAGGTGGTGGTGGAGGATATTATCAAAGGATTGGAGGAGCTTGTTTCTCAAGTTGATATTGTTAAATCCTTTGTTTGGTAAGTCTACTAATATACAACTTTTAATGCATTAAATACAATTAAGAAACCCTTTCTTTTCTTCTTACGACTTACTTGATATAGATATAGATATGTTTCTTTTTAAGTGAATACATGAATCGTGTCTTAATGGATTAAGTGGATCAAATGACCCTTTATGTATTCACACATCCATAGCCTTAATGAGTTAAACTCTTAGAAACTAGCTTTTCAACTACTTTTACAAAACGTTATTTTCTTGTATATGAATCATATCTTAATGGATTAAGTGGATCAAATGACCCTTTATGCATTCACATATTCATAGCCTTAATGACTTAAACTCTTAGAAACTAGCTCTTTCAACTACTTTTACAAAACGTTATATTTTTATACATAAATCATGTCTTAATGGATTAAGTGGATCAAATGACCCTTTATGCATTCACACATCCATAACCTTAATGACTTAAAGTCTTAGAAACTAGTTTTTCAACTACTTTTACAAAACATCATTTTCTTATATATGAATCATGTCTTAATGGATTAAGTGGATCAAATGACCCTTTATGCATTCACATATCCATAGCCTTAATGACTTAACTCTTAGAAACTAGTTTTTTCAACTACTTTTATAAAACGTTATATTTTTATACGTGAATCATGTCAATCATGTCTTAATGGATTAAGTGGATCAAATGACCCTTTATGCATTCACACATCCATAGCCTTAATGACTTAAACTCTTAGAAACTAGCTTTTCAACTACTTTTACAAAATGTCATTTTTTTTTATCAGTTAATTTTTTAGTTAGAAACTAGTTTTCCAAATAAACCTAACAAACCTTATTATACTTAATGTAACAGGGGAAAGGATATTGAAAGTATGGAGATGTTAAGGCAAGGATTCACACATGCTTTCATGATGACTTTTGGCTCCAAAGATGATTTCACTGCTTTCCAAACTCACCCAAATCACATGCAATTCTCGGCCACATTTTCAGCAGCAATCGAAAAAATTGTGCTTCTTGATTTCCCGGTTGTTGCTTTCAAGACCCCACAGTAGCCGGTGTGCATGGTATTTGACAATTTGAAACGATTTAGAGGTTTTCTAAATCGGAAGAATTAAGAAATTTTATTATGTGAAGTCTATGTGTTCTAGTTTAATGTGTGTTTTCTTTTTTGAGATTTGATTATTGTATGAGGAACTCTTGTGGATTCTTGAATGAACCAAGATGGACCGGTTCGGAATAATTACAATTTCAATGCACAAGATATATTGGTGTATTCCATGTATTTAATTAGAATAATATGTGTATTATGGTTGTAATTATCTTGCTTAAAATTGGCTGCTAGATTAGTGTTTTTACTGGAGTAACATTTCCAAGCCCACTTCAAATTTTTCACCATTCCATTTCTTTGGACCAATTAGATATAAATCAAGATTATAATATTAACTATAAAATAATATTATTCATTTATATTAAAATATAATATTGTTTATCTTTTTGGAAAGAGAACTTTCATAAGGTGAGTTTACCATAACAGAACTTTTGATTTTAACTTTCATTTTAAATTTATATATTTTTAGTTATTTTAATTTATTAGTTATAATTGAAATATAATAATTAATGTTTGTAATATTATACTATATACTTAAATGATATTAATTAATAATAAATATAAAGTTTAATTTTTATGTCTCAAATTCATATATACTCAATACCATGTTTTAAAAATTTAAAACATGACAAGGTATTTTTATTAAATTTTATAACTAAGATATATCTAACAATATAAAACATTCTAATAAATATGTAATTCCCCTACACATACTGGATCACGCAAGTTGATGCTTACAATCAAGAAATATTTCAATAGGTTTCTTGTTAGTGATATCCGACTATTCGATTTTCCATCATCAATTCAAATTCAATGATTCTCTGATATCCTTAGCAAATTGTTTTAGTTTCTTGATCGATCCTTTTGTTCATATTCCTTCGGTCATTCATGATCGATTATGTTTTGATAGTTGTGTTTGATCTTAAAAATTAGTGGGATTCAATGGGTTGGTATTTTTTTTTGTTTTGGAACGGCAGAAATATACATAAAAACAAAAACACTAGCAAGAAGCTAGAAAATTACAAAGAAGCTACATTGGGATTATAATGGGTTGGTATTTGTTGAGGTCGATGTTTTGTTTGTTCAGGAAAGTTTGAATATTCAAAATTAATCCGATAAAGATGAAGTCTGATGCTTTTAGATGCTCTGCTGATTAATCAATGATTGGTCCAGTAAAATTCAAATTGAATAATCACAGTTCTGATGTGCTAAAATGGTTGGTCAATGCTCTGCTTCAAAGTCAAAAATCGGTGTTTTGTAAATGGTTTTGTGACTTTTAATGAATTGTTTGTTCCCTCAAGTTCCTTTGATACTACTATTTAAAATTAGCAAGTTTTGGTTTAAATGATCATCAAACTTAACTTTTTTTTGGTTTTATGCAGGCATAAAATGAGTTTTTGGGTCTAAATGGTCATTTTCGTATGGTGTACCAGTTATTAGAGGTTGAAACGTACTAGAAGAGCAGGTCATAACCTACCTTATACCCCCATCATAAATCGAAAAAATAACTTTAGGGACTGAATCAACCAACTTTAGAAACATTTTAGGACATTCGTGTCATTTCCCCTTTTGATAGTAATATTATTTTAATGTATAAGTAAATCAGATTCATATCCTTAAAGGTTATTAAAATTTTCCCGAACTATAAATATGTAGGAGGAGTTGTTGATCATTGATTTTAAGGTTCTCATGTTGAGGATGTTGACGACTAATGAGGAAATGTATATTGGAGCGATTGAGTCCATGATCACGAGACACAATAGTAAATGAGCATGCTCATTCAATTCTAGAGAATGTATCACTATTTGTGTATTTTATGAATTTTCCTATTTATTTGAATGGGCGCTGATTTTGCCACATTCAGTTTTTATTCATCCACTGAAAATAACTATGTATTGACATTTATACCCTTCTATTTAATTAATAAATATTGAAGGGATAGATCCCAGATTCCCAGGTTTATCTTGAAGCTTGTTTTTCATCTTCAAAATTGTTTCTGACATTAATTTCACATTCTCTAAGTATACGACACTTTCTCATCAAAGTGTTCCAGAAAACTTGCCCAATTTCATTTTCATAAGCTAAATGTTAATTATTAGAATTGTGATTTTTGAAGATTTTTGTTGTATTCACTGGATAAACACTTTCTGAACAATTGGATGAATTACTTAACAAAAGATGATCCGAAAATTAATGAACAAGTGTGGAATCAACGTCTTTCGTTGGTTCAGATAAACCCAAATCGTTGTGACGGGGAAGATGTAGACTCAGTCGAACTCGACTAAGAACCTAGGCTAATGGTGTTTTCCGGCGAATTCCTTCACCGGTGGAGGAGAAGAAACCCGCGACCACAGATGAAACTAAGTCACGGTGTCTCCACTTACCAACGATGTTTTTCCAGCGAATTCCTTCACCGGTGGAGGAGAATAAAGCTATCGTCGCTGTTGAAACTAAGCCCACTGTGGGGTCTTTACATCTTAATTCTTGCCTATGGTATTTTACGATGAATTCCTTCACCTTGCTGCCCTTTCCGGCGCCACCAAAGCAATAACTCATATTTTGTGTATTTTGTTTAGACGAGATCCTCGTTGATGGTGCTCATGGGGATGTCAACCAAATTGGGGCTAATTTGACAAATGTAATCTTCTGAATTTAATAGTATTTATTTGTAATTAGGGGCATAAGTGTCTTTATAATTTATTTTCAGTGGTTGCATAAAAGTACTCCGTGGAAGAATCAGGCCCCTATTTGAATACCTATGATATATGGGATCTCGGTGAAAAATATGGTATCATTGCACCATGATTATCTAAAATGGAAAGATATTTTGAATGGATAAGCTCTTAAAGGTTCTTTGAAACATGTGGATTGGCAATTTTAGATTGTTGGCATTTAGAAAAAGATTTGAAAGAAACATCAAAGACACAAACGAAAAGTGATAACCGTGACGCATCGGAACGAGTTAATGTGGTGACAATAACATTTTTTTTTTTATGCCCTTTCACTCTCATGTCGTATTGGACGATATGGACGTTTCATGACAACAACATCTTTGGACGATTAAAAAAAAACCACTATTTTCGATTTTACAGTGGCTTCATTTTCATTAGAACAATATTTTCTTCGCATTTACAAACATTATCGAGCCTAGAATTCTTCATCGTCTTGCGTAGGTCTAGTAATGGGGATCGACCACCGTCCAAGATGAGCGGTGTAGTTTATGCACCGGGCAACGCCTCTTCCGGCGGTGCCGTCGGGGAAATCGATGACGCTAATGCTACCGGCGTCCAGATGAAACGATCCCATCCACTCGTTCGTTAGGTTTAAGCAATGACCTAATAACCCGATGTTAAAAATCGGATGTCCAACTGCTACGACGACGTTTTCTGCTTCAGATTCCTTACATAACTCATCCAACACCGATTTCCACGCTATCCCTGATTTCTCCCATATTTCCCTCAATAATCCCTCTTCAATTTCATTCACCCACCCCGATTCTAGACTTGATGCCTTAATCGATTCCTATTAAAAAAACAAAAAAAGAAAAATCAAAAAATGTTTTTTAATAGAAAGAAATAAACTATTCCTTGCAATTTACTTGCCTTTTTTGAACGATTAAGAATGTCTTGAATGTCAAGTTCTTTCATCTGCTTTGTTTCAACATATCTTGGCACACAATCAGCACCTAGACAATCAGCAGCTTCTTGAACCTTCAATCACGTGAATTTTCCCATTCAGACTTATCTATATAGAAAAAGATGCAAATGCCCCTATAAAGACTTACACGAGCGATTGCATTAGCGGTTTCGGTTGGCGCGATTCTAGGGCTGCTTACTATTGATTTCACCTTCAAATCAAGAAGCAATTCTGCTGTTTTTTGTGACTACCATTTATATATAAAACAACATATTAATCAAACCATAATTACCATAATACCCTTTTGCATATTATCAAATTACAAGAAAACCTGTATAGTTCCAAGCATGTCCATAGGCATGTCACTGTTATCAGATTCAGAATCACTACCCTGTTAAAAAAATCTCAAGGAAACCAAATTAGGAGATTTAGAAAACAAACTAAAAATATTTTCACAGATTGATTTATTTATTAATATTACCTCAGGGATTCCATGGCAGACAAGTACAATTCGGTTACTAGCTTTCCTTCCTGCAGAGCTTCCGGAAGCAATGGGGGAGCTTGGAGTTTGATTTAATCTGTTAAGACAAATATATGGAGATCCACCTTCAGGATGTGGGACAAAATCCAGCACACTTACACCACAGTTGCTTTGAAGTAAAATTCTGAAGTACTCTGTTCCTAAGCCTGAAGATTATTACATAAACAGGAATTTCTATAAACTTATGTGTAGAGTTATAGAAATTGAAATACACGAAAGAGGAAGAACATAAGAACATGTACCCATTGCTGTAGCAACAAGAGCTTGATTAACAGCATTATGAGCAACCACAAGAACAGACCTGCTGTCATGGATTAAAATTTTGTTCCAGCAGTTTGAAGCACGATCCCATAATTCTCTTACGGGATAATGACCATCTATGTTGAAATTTGGAGCGTCTTTTTGCCATTGAGCAAAAGCTTCACCATATTTTGATATGCCTTCGTGCTTTAGGAGACCCTAGAGTACAGAAAAGAATTCTATGATACTCGTGTAATCTTCAAAGAAAGATGCTCGTGAGAAGTGAAACTAACTTGAAATGAGTATAGGTCAATCTCCCTCAAGTCTGAATCAGTGAGGATTTCCTCTTGGCGAGAACCCCATATGACTTCAGCAGTTCTTTTTGATCTTCTCAAGGGACTGCAAGTTTGAAATGTTCATTTCATAAATCTGAATCGACTGTTTGTGAAATCATAAACTGAATTCATACTGATAATTAAGTCTAGGGTTTACACTAATTACTGTAATAATCAGAATGTAATTCTAATTTTGTAACCACACGAGTATCGTTTTATAATTCCAAGCCCTAATTTCATTAAGATATCATGCGAAACCAAATCAAAGAGCATAAAAACCTGGAGAAGCATATATCAAATGAGTCATCGATAAGCATTTGGCGGGAAGTCTCGGCTTGAGCCTCTCCTTTCTGAGTAAGAATCGAGAAATCGGAGCTCCCTTGGATCCTACCTTCTGCATTCCATGTGCTTTGTCCGTGCCTCACCAAAACCACTCGCTTTGCGACCTTAACCGGAGGGAAGGAGACTGAACCGCTAAGCGTGGAACTCAATTTCCGGTCATCTTCCGCCTCCGATGATGATGAAGTGTCGAGTTCTTTAATGCTTGAAGAGGATGATCGAACTATGAAGGGACTAATTACGATCGGTTTGAAGGTGTGGAAGAGTAGCCTATGGCTCCTACAGTGGAGGAGGAGTTGGTCGCCGCCGACTAGAGGAAATCCGGCGAAGAGCATCGTTTTTGGCGGTTAAAAACAGTAATAAGAATTGTATGGTTACCGTTGCTTCTATCGGAGCAATATCAGAGAATACCTATCAATTTTTGTGTTTTTGACTTTTTTCACACGCCTATCAGATTTTAAGAAAATCAATATTTAAGAAAAGATAATTTAAATCGAATGCAAATATTATAAATTCATAAGATAGTTATTAAATTTTATCTCACCACGAACTACCTAATTGACTAGATCCGAACAAAAAAAATGATCTCTTCAAAACTATATATGATCCACACAAATTAGCAAATTTAAAGAAAAAAAAATAGTGAAATATCGGTTTTTCATTTTTATAAAACCGTTTTTTTAGCTTGTAGAAAACAACAATAATAACAATGATTTTCTTTAACTCATAAGATTTTATAGTTGTTTAGTCATTAGAAGCCCAAAATTATTATTTTACCTTCTAGACATAAGTAGTTGATTCATAATCTCTTGCTAACAGACAAGTGGGGTAAATACTAGCATATCAGTGGGTGTATTTAACTATTTAACCCAAAATATCCCCAATAATACAGATTACAAAGCAATTTAAATTTAAAACCAACATATCCCCAATAATATTAAAGATTACAAATCAGTTTAAACAAATTGACTTATCAATCAATGTCTAATAAAAAAACCAAAACCAATCATAGTTCAGAAAGACATTTACCATTAATAAATTCAACAACCCGTGCAACTACATCACGAATTTCCACAACAGTTGCTTGCAAATTCTCTTTAAATTCTTCATGAATCGACTTTTCACCATCAACAAAATTTGATACACCTTTTATAAATATTGCAGGGACTTTCATGAGACTAGACACGTAAGCCAATGCTGCTCCCTGAATTTATTTAGATTTTATTTCAAGATAACATATGTTCAACTCAAGATAAAACATTAGGTGTTAAAAAAACGTGACAAATATAATAAAACAAAAAATGGTCGGAATGAATTAATGAAATGATGTACCTCCATATCTACAATTGTTGCATCATTGGCCAAGATACATTTTTCATCTTGTGGAGACATGTCTAAAGAATCTCCCGTAGATAATTTACAAACCTGTGAGATATTTATATTTTTTAAGATATTAAATGTGTTTAGAAAACAAAATAAAGATTATTTGACCTTATTTTTCACAGAATTTGGTAGATTGTTACTTTTAGATTAAGCTCTTTCACAAGATTTGGTGTGGGGAAACTCTTTCGTAAGCCAATTCCATATCTATCAGGACCCTGTGATTACAAAAAAAAAAAAAAAAAAAAAAAAAAAAAAATGGACATGAAACTTTAAAAACATTATTACATTAATCAACATGTTTAATAAACAATCAAAACTTACTGGAATGGGAATCCGTCTATCATGAAATGCAAGATCTGATACTAGGTACACATCAAATATGCATGCTCCTTTCACCTGATAAGAAAAAAAGATGAGAAACAAATTTGTAGATGTAATAAACAATCTAAATTACAAAATATAAAAAAACATAGGTACAAAAATTATACTTTAAAGCCACCAGCAGTGCCAGCATTTATCAAAAGATCAGGCTTCAGTGCTTGAATAGAAGCATAAGTCACAAGAGATGCAGGAACTGTGCCTACACTATTGATCCCTGAGAAGGAGGAAGGTATACAAAGGGTATTTTAGTAATTCCATACTCATACAAAGGGTATTTTTGTTGAACTAAACACACACCAAAGTCGGGGTCTTTCCCTGGAAAAATGACATTTAGATTAAGATCCTTGTAGCAACCATGATATCTGATCCAAGGGACACTTAATGGAAACCTGAAATAGTTTCACACCAATTATTTATCAAGTGTAACTTAGATTCATAATCTAGAGTCCATTGATCATCAGAAATGGTTACTACTCAAATCGTTAAAGAGTTCCCATGGTTTGATTAACTGAAATAGGAATGAAGAACAAATAAGGAACGCTACAGTCGATTAAAATCAATTTGTAAGTTCTAAAATTCAAAAATGATAAATTAACTGGATGCTATCATCAGGGGAAACAATCTAAAGCTTTCAATTAATCACTGCAAAATGAACTTCAAAATGTCTCTAATTTTGGAACTGAGTAGTTAAACACAAATTTCAGAAAAGTGAAAAAGGTCATAAAACCTTTCAAACAGTTAGCAAATGGGAGTTCAAACTTCAAACTAGGAAGTAGATGGTGAGCGTCAAAGCAACATACATTTATTGATTTGAGAAGAAATCGGACACAGAGAGTAATAGAGAAACTCACAAAGTACCATCATCCCGTGAAAGTTTGAAGTGTTCGACAACCGGAAGCGCTTCTGAATCCATGGCTGCCGTTCATATCCATTCAGTCGATGTTATAATAACATAAAGGACAGGCATGGAGGTAGAGAGAAACTAGGGATTACCAGCGAAAATGAGAATCGTTGTAATCGGGCGTTTGTCATCTCCAAGAGGAAGTGTAGCCATGGCAGCCTCAGTTTTTTCCTATTCAAGTTTATGGCTTTTTCCTTCTCGGTCTATGGATTTGAGGTAGACGGATCCTCGACTGTTTATACCGCCGAACGCCGTATACAGCGTTTTTTGATCTTAAATAAAGTCAACTTCCATCGTTTTTTTTAAGGCCAATGGATTTATAGACTAATAAACTTGTTTATATATTTTATACCAGGTTATAACCCGTGAAAACCGTGTATATTTAAAATTTTTATATAGATAAAAAAATAATAAATGTCAAAAAAAAAAAAAAATGTCGATTGTAAATAATTATAAATTAATTTGTTAAGGAAAATAAACATAATAATATTATTAGGATACAATTTTGTATTTTCAAAATTTGAATTGAATTTGATTTGTTATAAAAAAAAATCATAAAAATCATAGAAAAATGTCACGTGTCAAAAAGACATTCTAAAAATTAGCATGTGTCATTTTTAGGTTTCATTTATTAGAAGAGGTAGATCGTTCAATAAATATTATTTTGACTGACAATCACATATCTTATTGGTTTCTACTCTAGCACCTATCAAATTTCTAAATTAAAATCGATTCCAAAAACACATAAACACAGATATAAGATGAAACACAATGAATTAATTCCAAAAAAAAAAAGAAAAAAAAAGAAAAAAGAAAAAAAAAACGAGTATGAAACTCCACATATAAACATATTGAAATCTAGATTTAAACAAAAACAATGAAGCAAAGGCATATATTGATGATATTATCCTCCAGATGGGTAAATATTTAAATACTTTTATAAAATTTCAAAAACCAATACCGTAGCATAATTATGAGCGTGTTTGGATTGTTTTTAAAACAATTTTTGACTTTTTCAAAAAGTCAAAAAAATTGCCAAAAGATGTTTAACTAATCAAAAAGATTTTTTAAAATAACTTTTTGTATGGAAGGAAAAATTGGTTTTTACCCTAAAAAGTCTTTTTACAAAAACGACTTTTAATCTTAAAAAGTAATCCCAAACACCCCTATATATTTAAAATGCGTATGCATATCTTCAAAAACGAACTTTATACATTTTTAAATAAAAGTACCTATTATAATATGTATTTATTTCGTATATAATGCATATTCAAACAATATATATATATATATATATATATATATATATATATATATATATATATATATATATATTCTTTTAATAAAAGAAAACTTAAGTTGCCACATGTCTCTTTTCTAAACCTCATTCTCTACCACATGACATATTTCTAGACCCTTATCAAATCGTTTTCCGGCCCATTATAATTGACGCTCATATAAAATTTAAATAATAATTTACGTTTTCTATTCAATAACTTAATCCCTACTTTTTTGGGATATTTATCTATTGCTCCAGCAAATAACTTCCTCTAAATTAAAAAGGCCGACCCAAATTAGGCCTGAGCCAAAACAATAAGGAGGCGCCTACGTAGATGATTTAATTTAAATTTTTTTTAAAAAAATATTAATGAAATTAAAATTAGTTGTCTTTAATAAAATATTTATAAACTAAATTAGATATTTTATGAAATAACCTTCTCTATAAATGAGTAGTTAATTTTTAAAAAAGGTCTAAGCATTACACAGATAGATTACAAAGGCAATTTTATTTTTAACGGAGCTATTATAAATGAAACCACGTTTTTTAGCCACAAACATATTGACAATCACATGTGTAAGGATCAGAACATTTTCCATATGCAAAATCCCCCTTCAAGTCTCGACAATAATCGTTGCACTTCCCATCTTGACAGCCAGTTGGCATTGTTGAAAAGTTGTCACAAACCTTAATGTTCATTTTCCTATTGGTATTCCCATCACCTAAAAAACAAATGACATAATTAAGCAATTTGTGATATAAAAACAGACTAAATCGAAAAAAAATTGATGTATAAGTTACCTATTGTTGCGATTGATGCTTTTGTTGAGATTGATATTGTGATAAGTATTAAAAGGATAGCATACTTGTTAACAAGCTTCATGATTGATGTTTGTATGTTTTTTATATCGATTTCTCTTGGTTTAACAATGAGTTGAAGCAATCCTTCATAAAATTAGGTATTTATAATTTTTAGAGAGCCAAATTTGTTCCACAATTACCCTACATATTCGATCATTAATTAAGGAATATATTATTATAATTATAAATGTTAATTCTTCGTAATTAGAAAGCATACACGCCATATCTAATATCAATCATATCATACATAATAAATACATTAAAGACTTACCAAAAGAAATAAGTTATTTTTATTTATGATTTATGAAGATTCTAGTATAAAACTGTCTTTTTATACCATTAACCGAGTTAAATACATTTTTTATTACGTTAATTACAATTATTACATTAAAAATTATGTGGATTTTATTAAAAAAGAAAAAAACTCATAAAATGACATATGAAAAAAGAATTAATTCTAAATAACTACAAAATGACATTTGGCAAATTGAATGAGAGTGTGACAAGTGACAAAAAAACCTTCATTTATT